GCAACCTAGTAAAGTAAAAAAGACTATTTGACTGCAGCCACAATTTGGCTCCATCTGCCAGGACTTAAAGCAAAAGCTCATTAATTAACATGTTGTATATATTTAAAACAAGAAATTCCCTGTGCACAGCAACAACAGTCAGTTGCAGGTAGTTCGCAGGATTTGATAAAGAAAACTACTGCACACTGAAATGACTCCAACACATGAAACAGACACACCACGGAGTGGTATCGATCTTCTCATGTGAGTGTTGGGACGAAAGTGACTAAGCGTATTTTCCAAGATGATTAACTACATTCTTTAAACTTGTTATAAGCATATAACCACTCTGGGCTGTAGCAGAAAAACGTGAATACGACATATTGGTTGGATATTTTTAAGTTTTACTTGACATCCTGATAATTCACTGGAAAAATGGGAGATTATTTGTGCTTCATTTGCCTCTGTGAAATTGCATCATTCTCACAGTGTAAGCTTCTGAATATGAGAGTCTAATCCATTTTGGGTTGGTTTTATTGTCACTGAGGACATGCATCAGTCAGCTGTCAGTGTGTGGAACAGTGAGGTTTTGGCAGCGAGCCTACATAACACATCCTGTTTGATGATAAGACTCACACGCGTTGTCCTACTACCCACAGATAAACAAATGAGTTCAGAGTGATGGTGTGGCTTATGAAGAATAACAATAAAATTAGGTACATTTTAATATTATATTTATGAGCCGATTTGGATGGAGAAAAGTGAGTGAATCTAAAAACAAAGCCAATTCTGTATTTCAGCAATGAGCTGTGAGAATCTATCGATAGAAACCAGAATGACAGTGGCACAGATGCTTCCTCTTTTTACAGATCCAATCAGCTCATTCAGTCAAATCTGGTTTGAATGTTGAGTTTAATTTGGCATGTGCGTACATCAACACAAACCTCAGACAAAGAAACACAAATGTCTCATGTTTTTGATTGTGATGTGCTCACTAGCTGTTGGAGTCTTCTATATCTAATGATGAACTGTTTGCACTGACATAGTGTGTTCGACATACAGGTCTTTAGTAACTTTAGGAAGGTTTTTTTTACAGTGTCACAAAACTTTTATGTTGAAATGACATGTGAAAACAGTTTGTCATCCCAGTCCACTTCCCTTTAAAGCTTCATCAGCATCAGCAGCAACACGTTGACAAGTAGTTTCCCCCCCCCGTACTGTGCCATCATGTAGTTTGCTGTAGTTGTAAAGCAGAAGTGGGCCCCTAAAGGTCTGTAAATCAGAACTCATCACCATACCAAAACACAGAGGAAGAGCTCTTTGTTCCCAACGGGCCTGAATGCAAGTGAAGCGTAATCTGAAATTGTGCTGACAGCCAAACCAGATCTGCTGTGGAGTGTCCTCTCACATGAGTGCATTTCATTACCAGCTGTGGTATTAAGTAGTGGCTTCATGTTGAAGCTGCTGCCTGTATATGGTTTTGTTTATCATCCTTGTGTGTGCCACATTTATGTATAAACAACCATCCAAGGTGAGGAAACATCCAAATAAACACACTGTCTGCAGACAGAGGTAGAGGCTGGTTGTGAACTGTGTGAGCATACCTTCAGGTTTGAACTGGATATATGGTGCAACAGGTTCTTTGCGGAGTGGTAACAAAGGGTGGGGCTGTTGTAAATAATGTGTTTGTCTGTGTGTAATGAGACAGCACTCATCAAATTGAATATTTTGCATCGTCTTTTTGGCATTTGTGGTGTCTACTGTCTATATCTCTAAAATTCACCACAATCTTCTTTAAAATCCAGACTTTTGACTAAAGTAATTTGTTTTAATTTAGCTAGTGCCATTGATTTTTCCCATGTATATCATGTTGACTCTGCATTCTAGGAAATCATCTTTTCCTCAGGGTTATTTTACAGTCACAAGATTCCTTTTAAGCCAAAGACAAAAGCCACAAGCTGTTGCATCAACTGCTGCTTCAATAAAGAAACTATGACTTCATGACCTTTGTCTCTGCCTATCTGAACACCTTTTAATCTGCCCAGCAAACAACAAGGAGCACGGAGTCAAGTTCAGTTCAACACTGAAAGGGAAAACTTGAAGAAGTGTGTTCCTGAATGACATAGACAGTTTAAATGCATCTTTGGGGAAATCTTTTCTCACACAAGCTGAAAGAAGCATATTCATCTTTGCTGTTTCTGTTGACCAATCAGTGCTTTCTCTCCTCTTAAGCCAGACACATTGACAGCCTGAACACTCCTCCTCCTCCTGTACTACACATAAACACATAAAGACTCTCCATACTCAGCTCACTCCACATCTACAACCTCCACCAGCGGTTCTGCTCCTCTCTCCCGTGTGATTCATCAAATTGTGAGTTCTCTTACTTCCAGTCGACATGCACGTACCTTTTGCTGTTTCCCGAACTCTGATATAGACTATATTCTCACAAGCTTTTATAAATCGTGCAGGATTTCTTAGATAAAGCATGCACGTTAACTATTTTGATGACCGTCGAGTTTTTGCTCGGTTGTGGCCGGTTTATTTCACGATTGTAAGGTTTGAAGTGACGGAATTTCCAGATGTGGAAAGTCTCCGTTCATTTCTCTTTCATGAGTCACAGCAGCCAGTGAGACGGCCCAAAACAGAGGAACCAACCCGTCTCGATTAGTTATGGAAGCAGAGGCGAATGCATTGCTTATTATGGAGGAAATACTCTATTGTCTATACTATTGTCTGTTATTATCTTGTGAGTGAAATGGAGCACAGAAACCTGCGTTAGAAGTTCAAGAAATAGTAGTTTGGATGTTATGTATTAGGCTAGTCCCCTCCAAAAGGGGGGCGTTATGCAAATTGTAAATATAAATCGTGGCTTCTGTTCTATTTTGTTCGTTACAGATTAAAGCCAATTAAGTAAATAAAGAGAGACACCCTACAAGCCTGGCCTCCGCTCTGACCAAAGAGCAGGGCTTGCGCAGCACTTCTTAGATGTAGTCACTCGTTAGAGATGCTCTTCCCAGCAAACATATCTGCATGTATCCCCACAGACCTGTAGTATTAGGATCTGCATTGTGTCACACCAGTGTTACTAACAATGCATCTGGCTCCAGACAGTAAACGTCCATGAATCTCAAGTGGACTGAAGATGTGTCTATGATGCAGCATTTATTGATCAGACTGTTACAGGAAGTCTACTGGGTGTTTCCTCAACACTGAAACCTGAGCCACTCATTGAAGACACAGCTGAAGAAACTCCACAATAATATTCCTCCTTCAGGGTGTGGTGGTGATTGTTTGGATTATCTCTGACTCATGTGGCTGGCTGGTTTGATGTAATCTGTCAATATTTGTCAGTAATCATACACTGTGCATAATGAGCAGGTGTGGGATGTGTGTGGATCACAGGGTAAAGTATGGAGTGTAAGCAGCAACTGAAATGAGGAAGTGGGCATTGCCAGTCTTGCGTCCTCACAGTAGACATCAGCCTCCCTGCAGTCATAATCCTGCAGCCCCACGATTTGTAATCTGGCTCTTGTGTAATAGTTGCAAACGTAAATCTACATAATCTCCCAACGTTAGTGGTGCAAAGGCTCCGCTCTCATCATGATCTAAAGTTTTTATTTTAAATCTTACTTCCTTTAATTCTGAATGCCATGTTTGTTCATACTGTGCCACAGTTAGTTCACAAGATTCATTTATTGATGCAGTCTGCAGTAGTAACACTGTAACGTTTAGTTTTGTTTTCACTCCATATCAGCTATAAAAACATAAAATATGTGAGTTAAGAATTAGGTCACACACATCGTGCTTTGTGTACAGTGGTTATCTCTCTTACGTTGGTATTATTTACTGATTAAATATCGACTGATAATGGTTCAAAATTCCTGCATCAATATGTTTGTAGTTAAAACATATTTTATTTCAATGTGATGGTTTTTATAAGCTTTATTTTCAGAAATTAAGATATTACAAAAGCTTTTTTTGTTCTCTGACACTCGTGTGATCATTTACACTGGATTTTGACATAAATATATAATCCAAGAGGCTCCAAGGTTCAAAGCAACTTGACAATTATGTATCTGTAAACGTTTTGTGAAAGCAGTAACACAGTGAACAATTTACAGAGGTGGCAGCAGCAGCTATAGATGACTAAATAGATGTAATAATAGGTTTAAGAACTAGTTTGTCTTGTTTGGGCAGCATGACATGACAAGAGGCCTCCTGTCAAGTTAACACATATATTTATAGTCTCGCTAAGCTGTTACCCACAACTCTACAAAAGCATACTGTTCAGGAAACACACGATGTTGCTGCCAAAAAATAGGTTCCTCACATTATGTTGCTATATTGCATCTCTCTG